TCTTTCTCCTCACTTCTTCTCTTCGCTTCTTTTCTCTTCACTTCACTTTTCTTTATTTCTTTTTTTTATTACGTTCTCGCAATTTCTTTCTCCATCTATCTTCTCCATCTATTCTTTCATTCTCCTCTAGGGAGATTTACTTTTTCGAAACAGAAGACAAATCAAATATACATAAGCGTATATATAAGTATCTTTCTCGACCCTGTCGAAGGAGGGAAAGAGGGGTAAGACTATTCAAGGTCAAGAGCAGTCCGATGTTAATCTTTCGTAACCGATGAAAAAATTTATTCACAAAATGATTTGAAGTGATTGTAAGCTCGATATTTTGTAATATAATCATATACATCGTACATCATTATATTTTTCATACTTTGAATTATATATTAACATTATATTTTATACGTTGACTAACAAAATTCTTTTTGGGTAACGACAAATAACAAAATGTGATTGGAATTTTGAAGAAGTATAATATAATATTATAATCCTTTCTTGTGGTTGTATATATACGTGTAAGATTCTAACAAAATTGATGAAATACGAGTATAATTCCGATCAGATAAGTATCCTATTAAATTTTATTTTTTGCTTCCTTTTACCCACTCCTTTTTTAGGACAAAAGGATAACGATCGATTTACAAACGATTAGAGTTTCGAAACGTTGAGACTGTTATCTTGAAATAAAAAATTGTTATTATCTATATCTCACGTTTTATCCATAACGGCGAATAACCACCCCCAGCCCACCCATAAAGAAAGAAAAATATTAAAAAGAATACTGAACGATAAAAAAAAATCGTTTAAACGTTTCGAATAAAGCAAATATATGTTGGGAGAAAAATATATATATTCAAAAGGTATAGAACTTGAAATAACTTTTCACAAATGAGAGAAAGAGAGAAAAAACAGTAAAAAAAAAAAAAAGAGAGACTAAACGAAAACGAGCGCCACTGCTTTCTATATCGAGAAAAAAAGATTGAGAATGAAAGAGAGAGAGAAAGAGAAAAAAAAGGGTTGAATAAAAAAAGAAGAGGAAAGGGCTCAACGACGTCGAAAAAGTCGGATTTTCTGAAGACAAAAGAGCACGGTAGTACAGCAGCTCAAAAAAAACTTGGATGATCTCGCTTGGTTGCTCCTCATAGTTTCGGAGAAAATTTTTACTTTTGGAATCCTGATCGTTAAAATCGTCTCACGTTCACGCTTTCGAATGATATAACATCACACACACACATACACACTCTTCAATAAATTATAACGATAATATTATATATTAATAAATTTGTTTTAAAAAACGATTACATTTATATATTTTTATTATTTATATATTTGTACACACGTATATAAATACTAAAAAGGCTCTATCCTCTTGATTTATAAAAACAAAAAGTTTCACTAGTTATTAATTTTACTATTATAGAGTGATGTATATTTACATATATCATTGTAACGTCTCTTGTATTTACAATACACGTTAATGTATCTATAATATATATTTGTATCGATTATTAGAATTGTTACCTTGTTGCATAAACACGACTCGAATTTATTCAGTTAACAAAACAAAAAAATATCATTTAAATCAAATAACATTTCTTATCCAATAATCGAAACTATTAAAGTTTATAATATGCAATAAGATTGAAAAAGCGCGTTCACATTAATCCGTCCGATTTCATGTGGAAAATTATCCAAAGGGATTTCTCTTTTTCACGACGCATTCTAACGAAGAACGGTGCGAGAGTAAAAAAGAAAAAGAGCCGCGTTTGAACTCTCCGACCTCCTCCTTCTGTTTCTCCACCTCTTCTTTCCCTTTCTTTCTTGCTGCTACATTACTACAGAAGGTTATCAGTGAGCAGTAGGAGAAGGGAAGTACAATATAGTATAGACTCATGAGTGTGTGTGTGTATTGTATGCAATAGTATCGCGAACGAGCGGCTCTCGAAATTAAACGTGAGCCTCGTGTAAACGCAACGAGCAGCCAGCTCCAAATTAACAATACCTCTCTCTCTCTCTCTCTTTCTTTTTTTCTTTCGGATAAGAAACAAAGGGCAGCAGCATGAAAAAAAAACAAACAAAATAAAAAAAAAAGAAGAGTAAAAGAAAGGGGCGGAAAAAAGGGCATAATACATATACACAGGAAGAAGAACACAAGGAAGCACGTGGATGTAGTATGGACGGGGGATCGAGTGGGGTATGGGGAGGGGGTGCGTGTGTGTTACAGAGGAGAGACACCACGCGCATACACATTTTCTCAGTCCCCTTTTCGGTTTTGCTACAATCATGGTACACGCATCGGCGATAATTAAAAACAGTAATCTACCTTACCGACGACTATCAGTCGACCGAATAGGGTGAGAAACAGCAAGGACGTATCGCTATTATGACGTCACGCTGTCAGTCCCCGAAAGAGGGATCCGGTCGATGTTAGTGGTAGTGATAGTGATAGTGGTGGTAAGTGGTGCTAGTAGTGGTGGTGGTAGTGATGGTGGTGCTCAGGCTTTTGGGGGTGGTTATGCTGCTATTGAGTGGGTGGTAAGTAGAGAAGGGGGGTCGATGGCAGACGGAGAATGCACGGTGGTGTACAGTAGCCATGACACCGGCTGGAAGGCATGCTTCGAAGACGACGTCGTCGTTGACGACGACGACGATGACTACTATGACGAGGGCGTAGGTGGGGGGATATACAACACGGCGGTGACTCTCTTCTCCTACCCTTCTTCTCACCCTCTCGTCTTCTTTCTCTTTCCGCCCCTGAGCCAGGGGTATTTTTCCATAATCAATAACATGCCTCTATTCTCGTCACACCGAGCGAGCCGGCTCTGCCCTCACCACCACCACCGTTACTACTACCACCACCACACCCACCTTCTCCTCCTCGCGCCCTCTCGACATCACCAACCTGTTCAGGTGACAGTGGTGCTCATTCTTGTCAACATTACAAAAATCAAATCTCCTATCTACCTCGAAGATTGTTTTTTTTTTAATTTCCTATTTAAATTCTAGTTTTATACTTTTTTTCTTTTTTTTCCTTCCTCTCTTCCGTAGGATTGAGAATTATAACGAACGGATCTACGATATGTCAGAATTTTTACTCGATAAGTTTTCCTTGAAATTTTTCGAGTAAAACATTTTTTTTTCGCATGTAAAGAGACTTTGTTTTAGTTTATGCTTTGTTTTTCCACATTGAATTAGTTCAACAAACTATAAATAAAAGGGACGAAAGAAGTTAGTAGTCGAGTTTATCGATCGAAGGACTCTCTCTCTTTCTCTTCCTCTCTTACTTTATCGAGGAGTAAAAGATATAGAAAATAAACGGGATGAGAAACCCTGGTTAAACCGGTGGTTTAAGGGTGGCACGAGTGGCGGGTGAAAGAGTTCATTAAAACCAGCACCGTCTGCACCCCCTTCCCTCCTCTCATAGTCCCCGACCTGACCAATTCGCCGGTAGCACCCTCCTTCCTTCCCACTCTCTCTTCCTCTCTCCCTCTCTATTTCTCTTTTTCTCCCTACCTCTTAGCACGGTATGGTGAAGAAGGTGAAAAAAGAGTGCATCGTGGATTGGAAAACAAAAAAAAATAAAAATGTCAAAACGTTCGACCACCACCAGCTAGCCAGCTCGGTTCGGTTCGATGAGAGTTCGTATGATCTTTTTTTGAAATTCGCAGAAAAGGAAATTAAAAAAAAAAATGGAGAGAGAAATATTACAAGAGAATGTGTAATCAGAATATATTTTTACCCTTCTCTCTTCACCACCCCCCCTTCGCGCTATTTTTCTGTTCATTTGACTATTTCTTTCCTTTTCTATTTTTCGTTCCCCTCTTTTTCGCTTTTCATCCTCCCTTTTTTCTCCGGGTGGTTTTTCTCTCTTTCTCTCTCTCTCTCACTTTAACGATTAATCAAACTGTTATCAGATGATAATAAAGACTGTGACGCGTGAGGTTGTTGTGGTTGCGTGTCCACTACGTTATACCTATTTATCGTGAAAGATAGGAAAATGTGAGAGAAAAAGAGAAAGAAAGAAGAGAATGTGTATGTGTGAGAGAGAAAGAAACAGAGTTTCAGAGAGAGAGAAAGGCCACAAGCAAAAAAGATAACGATAATGTTCGGCCACAATCCGTGGTGATTAATCTAACGTTTATACGAGTTTCAGAGCTGTTTGCGCCTTGGTTGTCTCTACTGTAATATGAAGAATAACGAATTCACCAACGTACGTTGAAACAACAACCCTTTTCTCTTTTGTATTCCTCCCCTCCCAACCTTCTTCACTATTATCTATACATCAATCTTTAACTCTATTTTTTTCGTTGCATTTCGAACAGAGTGATCATCGTCAACGTTATAACGCATAATACCGTGAGATAAATAATGCCGATCCGATGATCAAAAATTCATATGACGCAAGTTTTGATCAATGATTCTTAACCCTGAAAATGGATTACGCCAAAGTATCGGGAAAATTGTTTTGCTTACTTGTTTTTTTTTCTCTTTTTCTTCTTCTTTTTTCATTCCATATGGAAAATTTTTTGGTCGACTTTTTTTTTCTTTTACTTACTTTCTAATTTTTTGAAAGGGGGTGGTGGTGGTGTTCTAAAAGCGTCGTTGTTGAGTTGTCACGCTGGCAACATGACGTCAGAAAGAAAGGGGAAGGAAGAGAAGAGGAGCGGGATGAAGAGCAATAGAGTGGGAAAAGGTAAATACGTATGAGTGAGTAACGTATACGTATATATATATATATATACATACGTGGTACGCCTATACACACGTTGAAAATGAACAGATGAGAGAGAATGAAGCGAGTTCGAGTTCGTGGGTGGAAAGAAGCACGTGTAAGAGAGAGAGAAAGAGAGAGAAAGAGTGAAAAAGAGTGAGAAAGAGTGAAAGAGAGTGCCTGAAAAGGGAAGAGGAGGAGGAGGTGGAGGAGGAGGTGGAGGAGGAGGAGCGGTTATGGTAAAAGAGAGATTCGAAACGAGCTGAGCATTACCGGGATAGTAGTTGCGGTAACTCCGTGACTGGTCAATACTTTTTCACTTGATCGAAAGCACTCGTACGTGCGATTAAACGTATGCCCTTAAATAACCCGGTGGACAAAGTTTTGTCGAATTTTTTTTTACGTTGATTCACAAAAGCGAAAAAAAAGATCAAAAAGAAAAAAAAGGAACGAGGGCCAACTGATTTGTGCAACATTTGTGCAACAGCAATAATGTTCTTCCCTCTTGGGTCATCACCGTCCGCCCTAAACGCGTATATTCGTGCGAACGTATGCAACGCGCGAAATAGATGGACAAAGGTATAGAACGAAATATATATATATATATAACGATTATCTTCTTTTCCTTTATCCATCGTCGAACGTAAAAGACAAACAATGAAAAGCAAACAAAAAAAAATAATAAAAATATATGAAGAGAGTAATATTTTCCTAACAAAATTGTATATCGAAGGGTTTTTAATCTGCTCAACCAATCCATCCCATTTCATATTCGCCAATGGTTAGATTTGATAAAAGCTTCAACGATAAATATACGAACATAAATTAAAACTAATATACAAACAAACGAAAACTAAAAAAAATGAGAAAATGTAAATATTAGGATGAACCGGAAAAAGTTCGTGTTTTTAAAAAAAATTAGTATTTTTCCACGAAAAATTTTACAAAAAAAAAAAAAACAGAAAAAAGAAGCAATCCATATAAAGCAGTATTAAAAGTAAAATTTCAACCACAATAAACGCGGAAACTTTTTGGTTATTCACCTTAATATCTACATGTAGTGTTTAGCGTATCTAGAAAAATGAAAAAGAAAAACAAAAGGAAACGAAAGATAACGACGAATCGATTAGTAAAGTTGACATTGAGGATCGATACATGATTTTGGTGGTGGGGGAAGGGAGGGGACTGGTAGTGGTCAGGTAACGGTAGAAAGAAACGATTGGATGGGTCGAGTTCACTTGGGCCGGAGACGGAAATCCGTTTTCCCGTTGGCTCCATCGCTATATCGTAAACTGCGTTTCACGCGTCGAATGATTCTCGAGTAGCGTGAAAGAGAATGAGTGAGTGAGTGATCGAGAAAGAGAGAGAGAAGGAGAGAGGAAACATGTCCGGTCGAAAAGCCACAGACGAACGAACCAACCATCACCCCAATCCCACCCCACCCTTATCCCATCGTACCCCAAACATCATTCGGAATTTGCGTGCGCGAGCCACGCGTAGGCTTCGAGCCGAGTTAATCCGGCTTAAAGCTCGAATTAACGTGCAAGGCCCCGGCGTCACAAAAGCCACGAGGGTCTCTCGAGCTTAAAGAGATTTCGAGTCGTTAGTCGAGTTACGAAAAGGGGGTACACCTCCCCCTCCAACCCTCTCCTCTCCTCTCATCTCTCCACCACCCGTCTCTACTCTCTACTCAACCACCTTCCAAGCGGAAGAGCAGTGAAAGAAGGAAATGTCGAAGGTTAGATAGAGAGAAGGAATGATTGAAAGAGAAAGAGAGAGAGAAAGAGGGTAGAGACTCCCCGAAAACTCACGTAATTAAGCAACTTTTTGCTGGTCTTCCACTCGAATGAGGATTTTCGTTTGGTAAACTGCAATTTTTCTAAACGATCACCGTCCACCAAAGACTACCACCCCTTTCTCTATCCTCCTCTTTTTTTTTTCTTTTCTTTTTTTTTCTATTCAACTTTCTCTACTCTCTCTCTCTTTCTCTCTCTCTCTTTCTCTTTCTATTTCTCTTTTTTCCTTTTTAACTTTATTCTTTGGCTCGAAAGGCTCCACTTTTCAAGTGTAGGTCGGAATTCACCACTCATCTACCATGACTTCGAAGTTATCTTTGTAACCTTCTAACTAAAATACCTGCTTTTTCTTTCTCTTCTTCTTCTTCTTATTCTGTTTTCGTTCTACTATTCTCAAAAGAAGAAATGGATGAAGAAGAAAAAAAGAAAAGATCACAAGTTTTTCGTCGACGAAGCATATTTTGTTCTATTTCCTTCTTTACTTGCGTCAATAATCGTCTAAAAGCTGCGACCATTTTTCAAGCCTACACATATATAAATCTTTCTATCTCACATTTTCCGTATTCGATAACAAGAAGAGAGAAAAGGATGGAAAACATTTGCGAGAAATGGAAAATCACTTTCGTTCGTTCGAATTTCGCGAGAAACTAAATTCCGTCTGATCGTAGTAGTAAACGAGTAGGGAGGATTGAGTGGGTTAGGAGGGAGAAAAGGGAGGTGGGATAAAGAATTTTCGAGGTGAAAAAAAAGAAAAAAAGAAAGGTAAAAAATTGCAAAAGAAAAGCAGAATAAGACAAGGGGGTTAAGAGAAAGAGAAAGAGTGAGAGAAAAGAAAAAAAACAAGGAAGGCACAAAGGAAGAGTCGAGGCGTGAAAATGTCTCCTAAAGAGAGAAAGAGAGAGAGAGAGAGAGAGAGAGAAAATCGACGTGGTGGTATCCGGTATGCAGGGTAGGACGCGTAAGTCGAGAGCTCACTCAAAATCGTGCGGATTCCGTTGGAATTAATTAACCGGGTAGACGAGACGAAGGGATGACGATGGTGGTAGGGTAATGATGGTAGGGTAGTGGTGGTGGTGATGGTGATGGTGGTGGTGATGGTGGTGGTAGTGGTGGTAGAAGAAGGAAACTAAAAAGAAGGAAAAAAAATGGAAAAGGAAGAAGAAGAGAAGGAGGAGGAGGGGGGAGGAAGAGGAAGTCTTTCACGCGTTCGACTCAGCGAGGGTCGTTTTTTTCGTCATCGTCGGTCTAGCCGTCGGCCATTTTGGAAGAGAAAAGGAGAAAAGGAGAGAGAGTGAGAAAGAGAGTGAGTCTATCTTACGAGGGTGTTAGCGCATGTTTGACTTGTCAAAGAGCCCACCCTTTTTCTCCCTTAGCGTAGCGTCTTCTCTCACGGGGAAAAGGGCCCCCCCTTTTTCTCCTTTCTGTCTCGTACTGTCCAATACCGACCATAATAATTTCTTCCCTTCACTTCTCGTATCCTCCTATTCCTCCCCCATTATCCTCACAACTCTCTACAACCCCCTCGACCCCCGCCGCACCCCCCGTTAGAAATAGTACCGTTAGTACCTCGTCTTCTTTTTCTTCTTCTTTTTCTTTTTTTTTTCTTTTTTTTTTGTCACCGCGAGAGAGAAACACTTCTATACATCAAACCCCTTTCCCTGAAGAACACCCAACCAGGACGCGTTAAGACGAGAACGTGTCGACCCTCCTTCCTCTGCTCTCCCTTTCCCTCATCCCTCCCAACCAACCAAAGGTCTTGTAGTTTTTATCCTAAATGAAACTATTTTTGTCGTTGCAGGGGTGAAAGTGACAGATAGACTGACACGTGCTTTTATTTCGACACGTTTCTTATATGGACAGATGAGTTAGAAAGTAGTAAATTATTATGTGTTATATACGAAGTTTTTAGAGTCACCCTGTTCGACAGATATTTTAAGGAAAATTAATGAATTTAATGTATATATATTGTATTTATTTTATTACTCGTCTATTTTAAGGGTTCGAATAACCTTTTTATGAAAATCTTCTCACGCATATCACACATTTCCAAAGAAGTCGTAATCTTTTTCAATCCCTTTTTGAGTAAACATCACAAAGATATATTTTTATTTGTTTTTTTTTTTCCACGAATGAAACACCACGTCTATATTACTGACCATGCCTTAATTGGTTACTCAATTTGAATGATTTTTAATTGGAAACTAGGTTTTTTTTTTCAACTAGTAATTAATTAAACGATTGAGAGCAATAAATTAAATACTAGGTGATAGAACTATTTCCACATTGTTTTTTTATGATCGATAAAAAAGTAATTTAAATTACATTCTATTATATAGATAAAATAATAAAGAGACTTATAAAAGAAAACAAAAAAAAAAGAAGAATTAAAAAAAGAATGAAGATAGTAAACGAACACAATATCGATTATAGACAAAAAAAAGGATACAAAAAACAATGTTGCGACGTTTATGCGACATCTTTTATTAAAACCATAAATTGACGTAAATGTAAAGCATCTTTTTTTTCCTTCTTCTACTTTTTCTTTTTCTTTTTTCTTTAAGAAGAATCTAGCTGAGCACGAAGATAGGAAAACGAGAGATATATCGGTGTTCTTGTTTCGTACTTTCTCATCTTCTCATTCCTCCTCGTCTTACCACGATGCTGTTGTCTCTAAGGGATGAACACAAAAAGAAAAAAAAAAGAAAAAAAATGAAAAAAAAGAAAGAAGGGGGTAGGTGTAGAGGGGTAGGTGTAGAGGGGTAGGTGGGGAGGGAGGGGGATGTTCGTACCGTACCGAACGACGCGTGTCCAAAGGAAAAGAAAGGAAGCGTTGACCGAGAAGGATATCGCCGCTCGTAACTATGGCTTGGAAAAAGGATCTCGAACCATCTCTACCTACCACCCCTTCTTTTCCTTTGCAACACCCCCTCGAGAAGGAGAGAGAGAGAGAGAGAGAGAGAGAGAGAAAGACAGAGAGAAAGAGAGACGGTGAAATTTTACGCTCGACTTCGAATTCAGCCACTTAAATCGGAATTCTATCGGCCCTTGTCCTTTCTCGAACGTTTTGTTAAAGCCCCCGAAGGAATTGTAAATTCGGCTAACGGGATTGCACGGAGAGAGAAGATGGCGGAACGTTGTAACAATTCCATCTTCTTCTTTTTCTTCTTCTTCTTTTTCTTTTTTCTTGTATCCATCTTCAAAAAAAAAAAAAAAAAGAAAACGAAAAAGAAAGAAGGAAAGAAAATAAATAAGAAAGAACTAGGATTTTGTTTTGTTCTTGTTTTTTTTTTTTGTTTTTTTTTTTTTACTAAAGTAGATAAATTTACATACTATCAATTATATTTTAATATCAACGTTAGTATGAAATGATAACGCATATCTCGATAGAAAAAATATTTATTTACGTTCATTTTTTAAATGGAATTCTCGGTGTTTAGGAACGAAAGTTTAATTTTTTTCTTATTTATTGTCAGAATGGTGTTTATGACTTTTGCAAAATAAATTATATAATTATATACTCGATGATACATAAATAATTGATAATTGAATTAATCTATTTTTTTCACCCCGATTAGTATTTAATTACTGCGCGTGTTACGTTTAAACTTTTCGTAAGATCAATCTTTTATCATCCTATTTTTCTTTTTCGTTTTTATCTCTTAAAAAAAAAAAAAAAATCGTACGAATTAAAGTTAATTCGTATTTTACAACATTTCAATATAATTTTTTAATTACGAGTTATGTATAAATTATATTGATATAATAAATATTAAATATCTATTA